GCGCCGCTGCGGGTGGGCGTTCTGAGGCCGAGAGGTGGCGGGGTGCCCGCGCAGCTCACTTTGGCCGGCGGGGCCGGAGGACACATGCCTGTGAGGGCCTAGGAGGAGTTTGTCGTGGTGGAGACCCATACTGCCCCCGTATGAGATCATTTCATTCATTCATTCGTTCCACAGACGGTGGTTCAACTCCTGATGAGTTCTGAGGATGGTGCGAGTGGTTAAAAAGTGTAGGCTGTGGAGCCAAGCAGCCGGGTTTGAATCCTGTCTCGGTGCTTGCCAACAGTGTCCTTAGGCACGTTGGTTCCTCGCCTTCTGCCTCGGTTTTCTTATCCTTAAAGCAGGGTTGCGAATAAAATCTGCCTCCTAAACTATTATAAAGGTTAAATGAGATAATCGGTGTAAAGTGCTGAGAAGGCCTGCTGGCACAAAGTAAATGCTGTGTGTGCTTGTTGATGTTATTTTTTGTATCATCGTCATCACTCAGAGCTCAGAAACTCACGTAGGAGACATACTGAAATGTAGACAGTTCTGATATGATGGGAAAAAAAGCAGGAAACACTGCGTAGAGGCACCTCACACAGTTTAGGCAAATCCAGGAAGACTTCTGTTCCCCAGGAAGCAGAACTGGAGGATGCTTGGAGAGTGCAGGCAGAAAAGGGGAAGAGTATTCTCAGTTGAAGATGAAATGTGTGAGAAAGCTGCCTAGGGACAGAGATGAAAGACCCTAGTGTGTGGTCTGGTCCTCAGGGGTCTTGTTTTGGGGAGGGAAAGAAGCCATGGGGCATGAGGCAGCTTTAGTTTGCCAGCCACGGATCCTGTAGTGGAATTTCCCCTAGGGAAGTTTTTAAACCTAGCCGTGGACTTGCAGTTTTAGGTTAATGAGAACGCATTTAAGAATCAGATTTGTAGATTAGAAAGATCACGCTAGTGAAGACTGTATTAAAGGGAATGGGCCTGGAGGCCAGTTAAAAGGCTACTAGAACTGGGGAGATGAGAGATGACCGTGGCCTTGAGTTAGATTAGGCAGAAGGTGGGGAGAAATGTGTTGAAGGTAGACTTGAGCAAAGTTGGTGATGACTTAGGTGGGGGATTTAGAGGCCGGGGGAGAGGTCAGGGTTGGCTCTGAATTTTTGACTGGTGGATGGTGATGCTGCTCAGTGGGATAGGGAACAGGATAGGGAGGGGATTTAAGAAGAGAGGATATATTTTGTTTTGAACATGTCTGTTGTAAGTGCCTGTAAAACATTCAAGTGGAACTGTCCATTGGTGATCTAGCATCCATCAAAAGTCACTACAGTTGTGGGAAGGGATGTGTCACCTGGGGGAGGGTCTGGAGTGGGAAGCACGATGTCTGGGACATACCTGGGGAATGCTAGTGCTGTAAGACTACTTGGGCACAGCCTGATTGCTTTTGCTTTTCAACCTTGTGTTACGTCTTCCGGTCAGCAGGCTTTTCCGAGTGTAGGGGGCTTTCCTGAGTGTAGGGACTGGGACTAGGTTTATTCATCTTTGTGTCCCAGCTGTCCAGCACAGGGTCTGGCAGGCAGCAGCTCAATCACAATCCAGTGTAACATTTATTGAGTGCTGCCTTTGTGCCAGACTCTGTGCTCAGTGCTCTGCATGTGCCTGTATTTGGTGGATATAAGAGCAGCTCTTAGAATCCTGCAGGTTCTCATCAGATTTTCCACTTGGTCTTTGATTCAGGTAATGAGCTGGAGGAGGAGAGTCAAGCTGGAGTTTCCCCAGACAAACTGTCGGAACAGAGTAGCCTGGGCTACTTGGAAATCTGAGGTATGTCTGTTAAGACTCAAAGATGAAACAAACCAGGAGGTCAGTTTGTTTGTCCCTCTTCTCTAGATGCAGCGTGCTTCAACTCACCCTTTCAAGACGACTTTTTTAAAGTGTACAGTAATGACAGAATCCTAGTTAGTTTGGTTGGGAGAATGTTGATAATATTGTTGTCATTTTGCTGACAAAGATCATGCTAGATTAATCCCTGGGCAGTGTTCACACTTTGTTTTAATTAAGTACAATCTAAAGTGCTCCAAAATATAGTGGCTGAAAGGAAATAGAAATTTATTCCTGTCCCTTAACAGTCTGGGAGTAGGTGGTCCAGAACTGGTCAGGGCAGCTCACTCTGTTCTGCGAAGTCATCCAGAAGCAAGGTTCCATTGATCATCTGGCTCTCCTTTCTCAAACCCTGGCTTCCATCTCATGGACTGAGAAGGCTGCTCTGGATCCTGCCATTGTGTATGCACTCGGTGTGGCAGAGAGGGAAAGACAGAGTAGGGAGCACATACCCATTCCTTTTAAGGTTCTAATGTTTAAAGATACATACTTTTGTACAATCTGTCCCCAAACCCCAGCCTCTGGTGTACAACCAAAGGAGGAATCACGATTGTTTCAATGCTGGAGGGAAGCTGGCTGAGAGAACCTGTTCTGTTCCCAGTGTGACTGGATTGCTGACTCTGATGGTTAGGCCTGAGGGAAGTCCACTCACTGGTGAAACAGGGTGGGGTGTGTTCCCTGGGCCCCTGGGCCCCTAAGGCAGGCTCCTCTGGCTTTGGGTCGTTCGTGTTGCTTGGGTCCAGGGAGTCCAGGCTTGCTCACACAGCCAGTGTTTCTGTGCCTGATGTGTCAGACACTGCACTGGGGGCTCGGGTTGAGGAGATGAGGGAGATGGATCCTGGGATCAAGGTGCTCTTAGCCACATGGCTAATCACAGTATGGGCTTCCCAGGTGGCTCAGTGGTAAAGAACCTACCTGCCAATGCAAGAGACACGGGATCAATCCTTGGGTCAGGAAGATCCTCTGGAGAAGGAAGTGGCAATACCACTCCAGGATTCTTGCCTGGAGAATCCCATGGACAGAGGAGCTTGGCGGGCTACAGTCCATGGCTACAGTCCATGGCTACAGTCCATGGGGTTGCAAAGAGTCGGACACAACAGAACAACTAGACAACAAAAAACAGAATTTCTGGGGTATGAGGTGCTGAACTTCTAAGTCAAAGATACTTGAGCCTAACATACCTGGTCTTTATACTTACTAGCTGTGTGCCTTTGGACAAAGTACTTGACTTCTCTAAGCCTCCATTTCCTCGGGGGTGTAGTGGGAATAATGATGACCTCATGCTAGCTTTATTGGGTGGAATTATTAATGAGGTAATGCATGTAAAATGCTTTATCTAGTCTTTGAGTCCACAGTTAGTATCTAGTGTTACTATGTGTTAGTTAGGAGAGGATGACCTAACAACAACCTCTTATGAGGGTCAAGAAAGAAAGTGTGCAGAGTTGAGGAAGAAAAAAATGCTTAGGGTAGGAAAGTAACTGACGCTCTCATGTCTGACCCAGTTCCTGTCCCAGACAACTGTTCACCACGTCTGTGTCCTTGTGCCAGGCCTTCTGTGCACATGCATGCCTGTATGTGTGTACAGGAGAGACATTTTAAAGTCTTGATTTTGTTGCACATAAACTGAACCTGCAGTCTAGAATGCCAAAAGGGCAGCCTCTGTGGGCAGAGCTTCAGTTTGAACAGTTTGCCACAAAAAAGACCAGGTGTCCCACTCTCTACCGTCCTGGAATTCCCCCAAGGATGGTGCCACATGGGTGGCACAGAGGTTCTCAGACCTGGTGTCTGGCAGGGTAACAGACACCACCAAAGGGCGGGACTCCAACCTCACAGGAAGCAAAAAACTCCAAGTACATTTTGTGCACAAAGTTAAAAAGAGTAGGCATTTTAGCACCAAGTGATTTTAGCGTTTGCTCCAGGTGTGTGTGTTCAGTGTCAGCATAGGTGTCTGGCACTCTCAGAGGTCCTCATGGGTATCAATAGCTTAACAGTCTGAGGGCTACCTACGGTTGACCTCAATGATGTAGTCACAGATGCATACAGAAAGCCAGGGCTCTTACATTCACACCTGCTTGTTAGGAATTGGAGAGATCAGCCTTGAGCTTCAAAGGAAGGAAGCAGAGGGCATGGTTAGAGTTGAGAGTTGCTCACTCGTGTTTAAAGAGCAGCATGCAGAGCCTCAGAGGTGGCAGTTCCTGCTGAGAGTCTAGACCCAGCCTGAAAGCAGCCTTGGTGGGTTCGTTGTCGCATCAAAAATGTACTCAGCTTCTGGTCTTAAAAGGTCTGGCAGTAGAACCTGTTCCCCCTACCCCACCCACCCCACTTCCTCTACTGACCCGATTCATCTAAGCAGTACCTTTCCTGTCCAGAGTAGAACGCTCCAGGGCCCAGTGGGAAGTTGTCTCCAGCTCAGAAGCCTGGGTGGTGAAGCATTTCTCATTTCTGTAGTCTCAGGGCTGGGTGGGTCCCTGTCAGGGACTTTCCTGGTTGAGTGTAACTCAAGTCAGCTGCCCAAGATAATGCTTCAAATCATGGCCTAAAGTCAGAAGTAACATTGTTTAGTTTTGTAAGTTGTCTTGTTAAATATTGAGTAGATACAAAAGAATATATACCACCTGAAGGATAATCTTACAAGGAACACCCATATACCCATCACCTCCTTTACACTAAAGAATGTTACGTTACCTTTGAAGTGCCCCTCCCTGATCCTGTCCTCTCCCTCCCCAGCGTAATCACTGGATTTGGCATTTACTGTGTTCATGCTTTTCTTTTCTTTTTTAGTGTTTTTTCTTTTTTGGCACCATGGCTTGTGGGATCTTAGTTCCCTGACCAGGGATTGAATCCAGGCCGTGGCATTGCAAGTACCAAGTCTTAACCACTGAACCGCCAGGGAATTCCCATCTCTTGCTTTTTATAGTTTTACCACATGTGTTTGTGTTGCTAAGCAATGTTATTAGTTAATTTTGCATGATTTTGAACTCAGTACATTATCTTGTTTTTTTCAGTGATTAAATTTTTTGCTTAACATGTGTTCTTGAGATTAATCTGTGTTGCATATAGGTGTATTTCATTTCACTGGTGAGTTATGTTCCGTTGTATGAGAATTTACGTATCCTTTCTATTGTTGATGGACATTTGTTTTCAGTATTTTGCTGAGACAGACAGTGATACTGTGACCATTCCTGGGGCATGCGTGTGCAGCCTATCAGCATACACCCTGGGAGGAGGACCGAATCCTAGGGTATGTGCATCTTCATTTTGACTAAATACAGTGATACCAAGTCATCTCCAGAGTGGTTTCCCCAGTTTACTCAGCTGGCAATTCTGCCTGCTTCACATCCTCCGAACAATGGTATCATCAGATTTAAGACTTTATACTAATGTGTTGGAAGCTCAGTGGTACCGCACGTGGTTTTGATTTGCATCTTCATGGTTATTAGTGGGTTGAGCATCTTTTCATGCACTAATGGATCATTCATCTTTCAGCTTCTCTGAAAAAACAGCTTAAATCTTTCTGCTCATTGTTTTATTGAGTTGTCTTTTTATTATATGAAAACTTTTTCTCCCTGTTTTTTTTGTTTTGATGCTAATCATTTGTCAGTTAGATGTGTTGAAACTATCCACCTCCAGTTTGTGGCTTGTCTTGTCACTCTAGTTTATTTTTAATGAACAGAAATTCTTAGTTTTAATGTCATTTATTGACTTTTTCTTAATAGTTAGCACTTATTTAAGAACTTTCTCCCTGCTTCAGGTTTCTAAAGGTATTTCCCCGTGTATTGTCTTCCAGATGTTTTATGATTCTTACCTTTTACTCAAAGGTCTTTAGTCTGTTCATAATAATTTTTGTGTATGGTTTGAGATAGGAGATAAGTTTTTCCTTTTTTTAAATAAACACATCAGATTAAGCCTCTACTATGTATTGAAAAATACATTCCTTTCTTGTGGATCTTTAAAGTCAGCAGTAACCACTATCGTACATCAAGTGTCCACAAATGTATGGGCCTATTTCTGGGCTCTTTACCATCTATTTCTGTCTGTGTGCCAATATCCCACCAATTTAATTTCTCAGTTCTTTTACTTTTTTTTTTTCTATTTTTTGTTTATGTATTTGGCTGCACCAGGTCTTAGATGCAGCACACAGAATCTTTGATCTTCTAGTTGTGGCACATGGGATCTTTACTCGCAGCTTGCAGACTCTTAATTGCAGCATGTGGGATCTAGTTCCCTGACCAGGGGATCAAACTCAGGTCCCCTGCATTGGGAGTGGGAGTCTTAAGCCACTGAGCTACCAGGAAAGTCCCTCTAAGTTCTTTTTTTTATTTCTCTAAGTTCTTATATAACAGTTCTTGGTATCTGGTAAGGCTTTGGCTTTCTACCATTTTCATTTTGGATTATGCTTATCAAATTCCATAAAAATTGTTGGAGTCTTTTATTAGAATCACTTTGAATTTTATTAGAATTGAATTTATTACATGTCAGTTTGGATAGAGGTAATGTTTTTATGATATTGATCTTCTGATTCATGAACATGGCGTATCCCTCAATTTACATGACTTGCCACATTCTAATTTTGTGAAGTGAAGGTCGCTCAGTTGTGTCCAACTCTTTGCGACCCCATGGACTATACAGCCCATGGAATTCTCCAGGCCAGAATACTGGAGTGGGTAGCCTTTCCCTTCTTCAGGTAATCTTTCCAACCCAGGGATCAAACCCAGGTCTCCCTCATTGCAGGTGGATTCTTCACTAGCTGAGCCACAAGGGAAGCCCAAGAACACTGGAGTGGGTAGCCTGTCCCTTCTCCAGCAGATCTTCCTGACTTAGGAATCGAACCGGGGTCTCCTGCATTGCAGGTGGATTCTTTATCAACTGAGCTATCAGGGAAACTAGTCAGTGTCTTTACACTTTACTCCCAAGCAGTTAGGACCTTATCACACTTTAGTTCCTAATACTCCCTTCTCAACTTCCATTCCATAGGTGTGTAGTTTAGTTCTTTTATTTTTTGGTTGTGCTGGGTCTTCACTGCTGCATGGGCTTTCTCTGGTTATGGCGAGTGGGGGCTGCTCTTCCTTGTGGTGGCTTCCCTTGTTGCTGAACCCAGGCCCTAGGCACATGGGCTTCAGTAGTTGCAGCACATGAGCTAAGTAATTGTGATGCCCTGGCTCAGTTGCTCTGTGGCATGTGGGGTCTTCCCAGACCAGGGATCAAACCGGTGATTTCTTGCCAGGCGGATTCGTAACCACTGGACCACCAGGGAAGCCCTTAGATCCACTTATTTCTTATTTACTGTTTTAGTTGGTCCTCACTCCTTGCATCAAATACTTTCATTTTGGGATCACTTTTTATCTACCTGATGTGCATCTTTTACAGTGTGACTTTGGGCTGTAGTCCATGGGGGGCCATCTAGTGGTTACAGATTCTCCCAGAGGGATTGTACACCTCTCCATCTGGTGCCTTGATTTGATATAGGCTGTTTTCTATGCTGTTTTCTTTCCGCTAAGATATAACCCTTTGAGACCCAGCTTAATTCTGGAGGGACCTCCGTTTTTGGGGGTAGGGGGAGAATCTGAGCTTGCCCAGTTCTGCAGATGCCCTTGTTGCCCACCCGCAAAGCTCCACTTGCTATCTGAATTCCAGCCTTTGCTTAAGTTTGACCTGTCAGTATTCCTTGTTGATTTGCCAGTTCTTTGATGCATTTTAAAAGATGTCATACAGTTTTTCTTCAGCATTTGTAGCCCTGTGTAGTGAGAGTCAGCCGGGGTACCTGATAATGCTGTGTTGTTGTTGTTTACTTGCTAATTCATGTCTGACTCTTTTATGACCCCATGGACTGTAGCCTGCCAGGCCCCTCTGTCCATGGGATTTCCCTGGGCAAGAATATTGGGGTGAGTTGCCATTTTCCTTCTCCAGGGGATCTTGACCCGGGGATCAAACCCGGGTCTCCTGCATTGGCAGGTGGGTTCTTTACCACGGAGCCATCAGGGAAGCCCTTACCTGGTGTGCCATGCTTTCATAAACTAAGATGCTTCAAAGTTTCAATTTTATGTTTCATTTGGCAGTTGCAAACTGAAGATCAGAACTAAGACTTAATATTGCTCATTTCTGACTTTTTAAAAAATACATAACATGTTTTGTAACACTAATTAGAATAAGGAAAGGGAGTTGCCAGTTAATGACAGAGAATTTGCCCTTTTGGGACAGACTGAGGATCCAGTGAATCAAGAATTCTGTGTCTGTCCATGGAAGTTTTGTCTCTTTTAAAGTGAAAAGAGCACACCTCATAGAGTATGGTGGACTTTGGCCTTGGATCCAGGCATGTCACTGAGACCTGGGTGGAATGACAACCTCACTAAGCCTTATTTTTCTCATCTGCGCAGCGAGGGTGATCATATTACTACTCTCCCAGAGAATTAATACGAACACTTGATGAGGTTGCGCGTATGTAGGAAACACTGCAGGCAGGTTGCCCCGGCAGCTATTCCAGTTTTTCCCTAGTGGCTGCTATTGGACTTGTGCGCCCCACGTGCCACTGCCCTTGGGAAACAGCGAGCCAACTATTTCTCTTGCCAGTAACCTTCCCTCAAGTGTCCATCATAGTGGGACTTATTACTAGCATGGCTCTGTTTTCTCTGGACCCAGTCCCACAGTCCTTTACCAGGACTCACTGTTTCCTTACAGCTGGGTAATACCCCATCAGGCTGGGAAATCGTAGCCTCCGCATGGTGGGCTCTCTGGTCAGTTACTCATATCTAGGCATTTTTAATTTGTACCTAACCGATGAATGCATTTAGAATCTGCATTGGTGTTGACAGGCTGCAGTCTGACACAGTGTACCACTTTCTGCTTCTGCTCACTGGGAATGTGCCCTGGCCCACAGTGGAAACTCAGTCTTTTCAATCTTTGCCACCTTGAAACTGGAAGTGGTAACTTAGTGCTTATTCATATCTAATTATTAATAAGGTTAAACATCTTTTTTCTATATCGAGTATATTGACCACACTCATGTTTTCATTTGTGAATTTCCTGTTCATTTCTTTGGCTTATTTTTCTGTTGGAAGATTTTTTTCTTGCTGTTTAATTTTTAATAACAGCTTTATTGAGACAGTCACTTACCATACAATTCACCTATTTTAAGTGCACAATCCAGTGGTGCAATTCACAAAAAGTTGTGCAGCTATCACAACCAGAACATTTTCATCATCCCCAGGAGAAACCTGCCACTGAGTCATTCCCCGTTTAACCTCTGTCTCCCTCGGCCTGAAGCAACCATTTTCTATCATTATGGATTTGCCTATTCTACGCATTTTGTATAAATGGAATCATGCATCTTAGTCTTTTGTGGCTGGCTTCTTTCACATAGCACGATATTTTCAAGGTTCAATTCAAATTATAGCACGTTATCAGTAATTTCTTATTATCAAATAATTCTCTGCATGCCTCATTTTATTTACTTATTCATTAGTTGATGGATATTTGGACTGTTGTGACCTTTTTAAAAAAATTAAGTAATTTTTGACTGTGCTAAGTCTTCGTGGCTGCACGTGGGCTTTCTCTAGTTGCAGCAAGCAGGGGCTCCTCTTTAGTTGCTGTGCAGGCTTCTCATCGCAGTGGCTTCTCTGGTGGCGCGTGGGCCGAGGGCCTGTGGGCGTCAGTTGCAGCATGTGGGCTCAGTAGTGGAGCACAGGCTTAGTGGTCCCACAGCATGGATAATCTTTCTAGACCAGAGATCTGACCTGTGTCCCCTGCATTGGCAGGTGGATTCTTGACCTCTGGATGACTAGGGAAGTCCTGTTTTGACCTTTTGACTGTTATGAATAATGCTGCTGTGAACATTTGTCTACAGGCTTTGTGTGGACATATGTTTTCATTTGATTAAAGTTCTTTATATTTTGGGACTGTTAACCCTTATTTCCCATATAGGCTGTAAATATCACCCCCCCCCCCCAAGTTTATATTTGTATTTGTAAAGTTGAGAAGATAAGGGTAGAAATGTGGATGAGCAGAACATTTAGGTTTCTGACCTGTCTTTCATGCCCTTAAGAATTAAGTTCGGGTACCATCGCTTTCTCATCATGGTCCCATTAAGTGGCCCCTTGGGACTGACCTGCTTCCTTAAATGGCCTTGCAGGTGCTCTGTCTGTCTCTCTTTCTTTGTCTCTATCTGTCTCTTGGCCTGCCTGCCCTTGGACCAGCAGCCAGGCAGTGCTTAGGGTGGTTTCCAAGTTTCTCTCAGAAGCTCGCACT